TATATATATATATATATATATATATATATATATATATTACTTCAAATTACTATAAATATTATTTTAAGCCAAAGTATGAATTATTGCCCTTCTTCTCCTTCTGAAGATCTCGTTCTTGTCTAAATGAAAGAGCTGCCATTTTAGCATCCGACTGCCATAAGACTTTTGACATTGTCTGAATACGATATTCTTCTTCAAGTCTACGTTGCTGTCTTCTTAGAGGTAAAGCATGAGGTTCATGAAATGGACCAAGTAATCCTTCTCGTTCATCCATCCATCGTTCTTTTTCTTCCCAGTGCTGTTTAGACTTATTAAATGAAGAATCTTCATCATTGTCCCTTTTCGGAACTGTATAACTAGTATTCACTCTAGACTCATTCTCCATATCCATCTTATTAAGTCGTGTCATCATTTCACTAAAGAAACGTTTTTGTTCATCCCCTTGTAATATCTCAATCACATTGTGAAATATTTGCTCTGGTTGTTCGTCTTCTTTCACCTTACACTTCCATACTTCTTTAGAGTCTCGTTTTCTCCTTGCAGCTTCTTTAACTTGTCTTTCCATTTCTTGGGCAATCTCTTTTTCTTGGTTAATTTTATTAAGCATACGTGTCTCTGTTAAAAGTTGCATAGTATGTTCTCTTCTTTCGTTAATCAAATCACGTCGTTTAGTACTGGTTAGAGATCCTTTAAACTCTTTTTGTTCATTAATTCGAGATTCAAGTAAACGCATTTTTTTATTTATATTAATTTCATTCATACGATACTTTTGTAAATCATTATCACGAGTATGCTCTTCTCTTGCACGTAAAATGGAAAGATACATCATAAGAAATCTTTTTCTACAAAGAACTCCACGAATCAATTTTTGAATAGTTAAAGCTGCTTTATTCTGTCGTTCTTTCATAAGAATCTCCCTACGTACACGTTCAGCCTCTTCTGCTATTCTCTTTTTTTCCTCAAGTTCTCGCTGTCTCTTCAGTTCTTCTTCACGAATTCTCCTTTCTTCTAATATTCTCTGTCGATGCAACACCAGGAACTTTGTAAAAAGTTCTCCACGTCCAATACTTCCTCGACCAATTCTTTGAATAACAAAAAGAAATTTAATAATTGCTTGTTCTCTGGCTCTATTAAGGATAAGGAAAGCTTCATGTTTCATAAAAACTTTAGTCTTTCCTAGTTGAGCTTGTATACTATCAATATGACAACTCTGAAGAATTTCTTGACAAGCTTCTTTATCTTGCATAATATTACCAGTATATAATACACGATAACGTTTTAATATTTCACTATATTTAAAACGTATAGGATATCCTGCTTTTCGTATAGTTATAGTTTCAAGAACTCCAGCAGAACGTAATTGTTGCATTACTAAAGTGTTAGAAAATTCTCTGGGATGTCTATTGGCATTAGGTTTTATACAACGTATCCAATGTGGATTTGTAGTATTAATAACAGACATTAAATCTATTAATTGTTTAATAAAGTGACCACCAACCGTTCCTTTAGATGATGATTTATTTTCACCATGTTGAACTATTTTTGTTATCAATGACAATTTAGATCGCATTAAAATCTCTCTCATTGTATCTTTTAATGTATCACGATTTTTATCTAAAAAACCATCAACACAATACTGAACATCTGCAGCATAATGTTTAATAATAAAATGATTATCCACAAATCGTCCACTAGCTTGTAAAAAATATGCACTTCCTCCTTTTGATTTATTTGGTCCAAATTTTTCAATAAGTTTATGTAAGTAGTTTCTTTCATTTCCACTTACTGCACATTCTTCATCTAAAAGAGTAAATATACCAATTTTTCCCATTAATAAATCAATACAATCCTTGTTATCAACAAATGAAACTCTTGTGGTATCAATACCTTCATTATGACAATCTCGCATGTCTAATACAAAAGTATGTTGATTGTAATGACCTTGTAAAACTTCATTAGTTAAATTAATACATAACTGTTCAAAACTGTTTTTCTGAAAATTTTCAAATCCAAATATATCTAGTAAACCTATCCAATAACTTGTTATAGAGTCACGATTAGTAGTTTCATTTATTTTAAATACAAGCCAATCAAATAACCAATCATACATTGCTTTACAAACAGAATCTCTTATATCTAATGCTTTAACCTTATTTAAAGGTTTTATCATTCGTTCTTTTTGAGTAATAATAGAAGTAGAAACTAATTCTTTTTTAAATTCTTCTTCATTAATACCCCAAAGTTCACAAACACGACCTAAAACTGGTAAAAGATTAGAATCTAATTTTGCAACACGTCCAGAACGTTCTTCAGATTCAACAAAATCTGTATTTTGAAGGAAAAGTCCTCCTGCAACAATTTGCCAAATAGAAAGTTGTTCTTCATTTGTTATACCAACATCATCCATAGCTCTTTTTGTTGACATATACTCTACTGCATCATCTATACCATCAACATTAATACATCCTCCAGCATTTAAAACACGATAAACCTTTGGATTTCTTAAAGAAAATTCTTTCGCTAAAGGTCCTTTTGAAAGTTGATAATAAGAATGATATACACGTTCCCCTGCTGCAGCAACTATAATTCTAGATTTCTCTAATAAATACTTCGTTATATGACAACCTACTAATATTCCGTTTGCATTAAATTGAACTTTAGAGAATTTTCCAAAACGAGAACTATTATCATTTCGTACAGTTTTAGCGTTTCCAAAACTTTCTAGAATTGGTGAGGCAGCTAATACACTTTTATTTACTTGAACAAATCCTTCTCGATCTTCAAAAACACCAATTTTTGTACTTAATGCACCTAAATATTTGAGAACAATTTTAGCCGCTTCAGTCTTTCCTGCACCACTATCACCACTTATTAAAATTGTCTGATTTTGGGAACTTTCTATCATCTCCCAATAAGTATTATGAGCCATTGACCATAAATGTGGTAAATTTTTCTCAATAACATTTTCTTCTTCAAGGTAAGCATCCATTTTTGACTCTGCATACCAAGGAATAGAATAATTAAACGGATTTAAAGCGATAACGATAGGACCAATATTTGTATACACAACATCTCTTAAATAACGCTTTTTTAGACAAAAAAGTAAAGAAGCTTCATGAAGCTCTGTAAGGTTAAGAAGATCATCAACATCTTCGTTTACAGCCTCAGCTTGTGGTAACCATAATCTCTTGGAATTCTGTGATAAGTTATCTACAGTTACAAATTCTGGTTCAGTTGCAGAGAGGGAGTAAGTATCACTTGAGGCATCATATGCGGTAACTTTTCCTAACACCCATTCATTCTCGGTAGTTAAAAATGCTGCAGGAGCTCCAATTCGAGATACTGGGATATTTACCATCTGTTGACCGTTAGATCATCAAAGAAAGAAAATGTAGAAGAGAAAAGAAAAATATATTAAAGACAAAAAAAAAACTGAATCAAAACATCCAACTCAGATGGAAAGGAAATGGTGCACACAAGAAAAAAATAATAATAGTGAGTAAAGACAATAAAAAAAAAAGGCAACAACAACTAGTTACCAATATATTTCAAGTAAAAAAATACAAACAAATAAAGAAAGGGAAACTCCACACCCGTTCTCAAACAAACGCATTGCACACAATGACAGGAGAAAAACAACTAGAAAAAACAAAGAAAGGTAATAGAAATTTCTCAGATAGAAACAAAAAACAACAACAGTAATAATAATAATAATAACAACAACAACAAAAAAGATGTACGTTGAAGTGTTACTATTGTCAACACATTTAAGAAATATGAGAGATATGCCTCACTATAAATTACTTTTTGAGCCAAGTCTCTCTATCCCCATTGAGAGAAGTGCTTCCCTTGCACAGTTCATTAGTTCTTTCATATCTTTGCAACTCGTACTACCAATAATTCCTATTCGAAATGTTTCTGCATGTGAAGCCTTTCCAGGATACAAAATAAATCCTCTCTGATTCAAAAATAAGTAAAATTTTTTAAAGTTCCATCTTGGATCAGATGGCATATTAAGACAGACAACAATATGTCCAAATGAGGGTTTCTTTTCATTAAGAAATAATGTGAATCCCAACTTTTTTGCTTCTTCAAGAACAATACGGGATTTGAGTTCATATGATTTGCTCCTCCCTTTAATACCACCTTCTTCTTCATACTCAATAAGGGCCTGATAGAAAGCCATTATAGTATGAACAGGGGGTGTAATGATAAATTGATTCGTCTTTTCAAATGACAAATATTGAGCATACAAATCCAAGCAACTACTTCTAGATTGTCCTTTACAACTTTTAATCAATTCTTTTCGAGCAAGTATGATTGCAAATCCAGGAACACCATGAAAACACTTATTTGCTGAGGTAATAAGAATATCACAAGCTTTTTCAACATTTACAGGTATAGCTCCAAAACTACTCATAGCGTCCATAATAATAACGGCATTAGGGATATGTTGACGTACAATTCTACCAATATCTTCAGCAGGATAAATCATTCCTGTACTGGTCTCATGATGTACATATCCAACTGTTGTCACATCACTATTAGATTTTAAAAGTTCATTTAATGCATTAAAATCAATTTCTTTCCCTTCTTCAGATTTAAGAGATATCATAGGGAAACCAAGTCGCTTGACAATTTGACCCTGTCGTTCAGCATATTTTCCAGAGTTAAGAAGAAGATATTTTGGACTTAATTTTGGAACAGTAGTTGATATAGCTGCTTCAATAGCCATAGTACCTGCACCTTGTTGAAGTATACAAGTCCATTTATTGGGATCTAGTTGAGCAATAGTAATCATTTTCTTCCTAATAGACTTGACGGCTTCCATAAATCTTATATCGCGACTTGCAAAATCTTTAAACATAGCTCTTTTCACTGTATCCGTCGTCATCAAAGGACCCGGCGTGAAAAGGATTTGCTTCTTTATATCGCTCATAATTCTGTTCATCTTTCAGAAGGAAAAAGATAAAAGAGAAGGAAAACATCAATAATAAAAAAAAAAAGCATAAAGAAACAACAAAAAAAAATAAATAAATAAATAAATAAATAAATAAACAAGAACAAATACATACATCTAAAGGAAAAAGAATCCAAACGAAGAAAACAAACATATGATGAACAATAAAAATAACGTCAGATTTCCAACACCTTAAAGTGGGAAACAAGAAACTCTCAAAAAAAAAAAAAAAAAAAAAAAAAAAAAAAAAAAAAAAAAACAGAAAAAGGGAGTTACTGTCAATTTCATTTACCACCATACAGTGGGGGAAAAAGAACAAATAAACAAATAAAAAGAATTAAAGAAACGTAGGAAAATACAAAACAAGAGAAAAGGAATAAGAAAAAAAAAAAAAAAGACAAATGCAGTGCTTTTCAAGCTGAATATTATTAGTTCCTTTGAAATATAATAAGAGTTCGTATACTGCGATCCAATTCAGATATACGTTTTCTTAATTCCAAAGAAACGTCTCTTTGCATATCCATGTCCATAACAAGATATCCGACACGACCTTTGGTAGAAACATACTGCATTCCAATGTTACAATTCAATTCGAGTACAATTCTGTTGATAAGACTTAATACACCAGGTTCATTAAAATGGACATTTGTAATACGATGAGTATCCTTTGTAGGTAAAGGAGGTGTTAGTTCTGGGAAGTTTACAGCTCCTGTAGTAGATCCACAAGTTACAAAGCTTATAAAGGCATTAGCAACTTCAGTTGCGATCGCATTTTGAGCTTCTACCGTTGATCCACCAATATGTGGAGTAAGAATAACATTTGGAATTCCTTGTAAAGGTGTTTTAAAAATATCTCCGGCAGCCTCAGGTTCATCAGGGTAAACATCAATTGCTGCACCAGCTAGATGACCTGCATGTAAGAACTTTGATAAAGCATCTAAATTTACAACAGTTCCTCTGCTTAAATTCAGAAAATATGATCCTTCTTTCATTTTTTTGAATTCTTCTTCACCAAACATTCCTTTCGTTGATTCAGTTTCTGGTACGTGAACTGTCACAAAATCAGACACAGCAAGAACATCGACCATATTATTCATTCGTTTAGCATTACCCAACTGAAGTTTAGGTACCACATCATAAAATACAGCTCGCATTCCCAAAGCTTCAGCCATAACTCCAACTTGTGATCCGATATGTCCATAACCGATAATGCCAATAGTTTTATCACGAATTTCAAAACAACCTTTATTTGTTTTATTCCAAAGTCCTTGATGAACTTCAGTACTTCTCAGAAAAACTTTCCTTGCAAGACATATAATTTCACCCATAACCAATTCAGCTACACTTCGAGTATTCGCAAAAGGAGAGTTAAAAACTGGAACTCCACGCTCATTTGCGTAATCCAAATCCACTTGATTAGTTCCAATACAAAAACATCCAACAGCAAGAAGCTGAGGAGCCCCATCAAATATTTTCTTAGTAAGAGTAGTCTTACTTCGAATACCGAGAAAATGAACATCTTTTATTTTTTTTAAGAGTTCCTCTTCAGGAAGAGCTTTTTCATAAGATTCAACAATAATTCCCTGGGATTCCAATAGTTCCTTCGCTATTGGATGAATTCCTTCCAAAAGCAAACAGCGATATGGCGGGTCTGCAAGAGTAGTTTTCATCTCGAGGAAAGATACGCAAAGAAAATTCAAGTTACCTACCACAGAAAACAAAAAAAAAGTAGAATGGAAGAACAAAGAATAGAATAGAAAATGAATACATAACCACTCCTCCTTACCATATATTTATAGTAGATACATTACCTCACCCCAAAAGGCAATAGAAAACAAAAAAAAAAAAAAAACAATTACAGAACCCATAAATATAATAAAAAAAAAGAAAAACAATGGATACAAATTACATATACACATCTTTTTTTTTTAATTATTATTATCGTTATCATCTCCTTGATCAGCCACCTATTTTGCTTATTTATATATATGTGATGTTAATATTTGTAAATATCTTCAACAAATTCATGTCTCTCCTCTGAAGTAGTTTCATTTTTTATTTCCGATACTGTGCTTTCTATTTCTTCATCTACATTGATAAATTTCTTTTTGTTTTCAGATACCGGATGTTCGGATTCTCGTTGTAAAATGGCAAATACCTTTTCAGAAACCGTTTTCCTTATCTCAGTAATATTTTCGGGTATTTGATACAACTTGTTCAAATGAACCCACTCCACGTCAAGGCAAAGACCTTTATCAGGGACAACTTGTGCAGTCGAATCTGTTATATTAACTTCCACAATACAACCACTCACTACAAGGGAAGTACCCAAGCGGAGATAACAACAACGAATTCCTACAAGTGATTTTCCTTTTTTACGTGAATTTACACTGCCTTGAGTTAATCGTTGTAAACCAAGTGATGAAAGATCAATATCTACGTATGTTGAGCTATACATACCTTTAGATGATTTGGTTAATATTTCGCAAGAAAAAGGAGATCGCACAAACGTAGTTTCAGGAACTTCATCACTTATACTTTTCCGTCGTTTTCGCCTAACAACCTCTGTAGGTTGGGGCTCGATATTACAAGGTTCATATTCTTCAGTGCTTTCCAATTTTACTGGACTAACACTGCGTTGTGATTTGGGTAAAGAATCAGACACTAAACGCCCATTCACACGCCTGGGATATTTTGATTTCCCTTCTCCATTCCTTTGCCCAAGAATAATTTGAATGAATTCAATTAAAGGAACCGCGTTCCTTCTCGATATATTTTTCTTATCAGCCATAACATCTAATGTTTATGTATATACAGATAAATAGAATTCTAAACTTTGGAGGAAGGGGTGAGGGGGTGGGGAGTCCAAAGAAAACAACGCCAACAACAGAATTCCACCTGTAAATAATAATAATAATAACAATAATATATATAAAAATTATACAACTCCATCACATTAAAACCCAACAACAAACCATAAAGCGGCACAGAAAGCGCCAAAAACAAAAAAAAAAAAACAGATGGACCCCCGCGCACCCAAACAAGAAAAAAATAAAAAAAAAACGAAGGACCCGGAACGGCGAACCCCTCTCCCTCTCGACAAAAAAAAAAAAAAGGGTGCCCGGCGCCTCCGGCCCGCCCTTCTCGTTTGGGGTCGCCGTGGGCGGGGAAAGCGCGGGCAAGAACAAGAACAATCCCGGCCTCGTTTCTTCGCGGCGCGGGGGCCGAAGGGCGAAAAGAAAACCCTCCGCCTGACCCCCGCGGGCCGAAACCCCGCCCCGCCCCGCATGAAAAAAAAAAAAAAAACGCCCGCGCCTATTTCGTTAACAAAAAAAGAAGGCGGAAGGATTCCTTCTTTTTTTTTCGCAAACCAACGAAAAAAAAAAAAAAAAAAAAAAAAAAAAACCCTTCGGGGGCCGCCCCCCCCAAAAAAAAAACGGCGGCCGGGCGGGAAAAGGAACCGCTCCGCCCGGGGAAGGGTCCTCCCGGTGGGCGGCTTCCCGAAACCTGCGAGGGGGCGCATGGGGAAGGGAGCCCCGAAAGACGACCACCGCGCGAAACGAATCTCTTTTTTTTTTTGAAAGCTTGCGATAAGAATGGCAAAGCCTTACTTTTTGGAACTACAGATTTATGGGTTTTGGTAAACCAAATTCTATTTCTTTTATCTTTACAGTCTGCCTAACAGTAAGTTTCTGAAAAGAAAATTTACAAGGAAGGAAAATGTTGAGTACGACTCGTCCCTCTTATTCGTCAGTAGAATGGAGGAAATGTACACAAGCATTCAAGGAGTTTGTTTGTCACAACGGACCAACGGCGTTTACATTTGAAATGCGACCGTCTCACGCTCCCCATTTAACTTATACCCTCGAAGGTATGTTAACCTTAGAACATGATTCACTCAAGATACGCAAAGGGGAGGATCACTGTTTGGACTGGGAAAATTTGCGCACCTCTATGATTAGGTTTCGCATGCCGCGAAACCAAGATTTTCTACAGGCCTTTGAAGCAGCACGAGCGCAATTTATTGCAGAATGGGCATTACTGGAGGAGAAAGAGCCATTATTATGCCAACAGTATGAGGGCATGCGTGCCCAGTTACAGGACCACACCTTCCGGGTCCAGCAGGATGCAAACATGCAAATCCAGCAAATGCAACAACAAATGGCCCAATTGTATCAAGAAGCCGCAGCTGGCAAAGCGTACCAGCAAGAGTTGGAGACGCATATCAATCAACTCCTGGCAGAATTGCAACAGAAAGACACACAAATCATGCAAACGCAGTCGCAACTAGCGGTGGCGATCGGACAACCACAACACCAAGGCCAACAGAATGGTTCTGGAGAAATTCACAGTCCCGCACCTCAGATTCCCCGACAACACGACACCACTTTGACACAACAGGCACGGAGAACGGAGCAGTATGCATCCGCAGCGGGGGGATGTCCCGCGGAGGCTCCCCGGGCAACACAGGAAATACGGCAAGTTTGGATTGAGCCAGTAAGACCTGAAGAGCGTATTCGGACTTTTGAAGGTGTAATGAATTATTTACTACAGACTTCACCAAGTCAGATGTTGGACGCATACAGGAAAATTTTTCCTGCGCCACCAAATCCTGGTTTGCGTTACACAGATGCATGGTTTAACTTCGCGCAATGGGCTCATACCACGAACATCCAAGAACTGACCTCCCAGAAGGTCGACTTCGGAAGAGGTTTATATGACCAGCTCCGGTCAATACAAACGGCGATGGATTACCCAGGAGTAAAAATGTGCGACATCAGGGAGGTCATGGCTCAGCCTCTGCAAAAAGATGATCCATACATACAGGCTGCATTTAAGTTGCAGAAGAAAAAATCGGCACCACCACCTAGCAAGGCTACATGTTACAGGTGCGGTCGCATCGGGCATTACAGCTCAACGTGCCGTGTACAATTACAAAAAGAGGCTTATAAACCAAAAAACGGTTTCCGGCCCCGGAAACAGTGAACACCGGGGCTGTGGCACGGAGGAGAGGCACGAAAGGAACATATTCAAGTTGGGAAACCTCCACCCCACACTGTGGTGCTCGTTCGTTCAAACGTCCAAACGGTGACACAACACATCATAACAGGAAATGTAATGGGAAACAGTACACAACTACATCAACAGCAGGAAATCTTCCAATCGTCACTTCTCCCTCAGGGAACGATTTCCAAAAACGAGTTTACGGTAATTCCAGCGCGCTCGCACGATCCGTACATCGTGGCGCTGGCTTCAGAGGCCAACCGCATCGCAAAGCGCATGTGGACCCGCACAACATGGGAGCAACGGGGTTCCATACTCAGAAGATTCATAGAGTTTACAGTGCGGCACAACCTGGATACGACGGAAGAAAACATTCCGTTATTCATAGTAAGTTTACAACTGGCAAAGAGCAGCGCGATACAATATACGCGCACATTGCTAACCCTTCTGGCAACGGCCAGAACTCCCACTCAAATGTTTTTAATGGGGTTACAGAAAACAGCAGCACAGGACCCGTTAAAACAAGCTCGTCCAATGCTAAGATGGGAGTTGGACATGATAATCGCCACTCTACCAAAGGAAAGAGATCAAGTGGCGTTAAGACTGGCATGGGTTACAGCCAGCAGATGGGGAGAAATCGCACAGCTTCAGAAGCAAAATTTCGTCCAGCACGAACAAGATCCCAATGCCATAATAGTGGATTGGGGTGCGCTGCCAAAAACCTTCAAAAGCGACCCGCACAGAGCGGCCAGATACGTCGTAATTCAAGGAGCAGACGCACAAAGGGTTCGAGAAACCATAAAAGGAATGACAAGCGACGAAAAGTTAACGTCATTAACGACAAAAGATATGGAAAGAATTCTTCAGCCTTACGGCATGACAGCTCACTCCATCAAGAGAGGAGCTTTGGCCCACGCCGCGGCGGCAGTGGTCGAACACGATCTCGACCCACGGTTATTAACACAGTTAGGGAAACATGCAGATCCAATGGAACTCCCACGCAGCACAGTGCGTTATCTGGGTCATTGGGCCGCCACATTAAACAAATCGGCACACCTCACATCATTGATGTGAGGGAATTGGAAACATGGGCAACGGAACAATGGGACACACCAGAACCCGCAACACAACATTTTGGCGCCCCCTTCAAAGGGCACAATATACTGCAACGGTCGCACCGCACCAGAGTGGCAACGAAAGATGACGAAGCACGGTTGCCGTTACAACAAATAGACGTCGGAACACTGTCCACCGAATGGATTAGAGGACGTCTGAACAAAAGGGCCAGGAGACGTTGGGACGAGGTATGGTATATTATGCAGAAACCCGAGTTGAACGCCAGACGGCGTGAATCCAATTTACGAATTAACAATGCCGATGCGCAGCGTATGAAGGAAGCAGGTATTATTTGTACAACCTGTTCACATCCAACTACAGGATGGGTAGTACCGTTTACGGTAGTGGAGGAAAAACCCTCCGGGCAGAGAAGGCGATTCATCGCTTGGCCAAGGGAAAAGAATGACAAGGATGATTATGAGGCTGATGTTCCCCCGGGAAACATTTCCCGGTACCTGGATGCAGTTTGCGACGAAACTGCAACTTTATTTGATTTAAAGGCATCATTTTTCCAGGTGGCTCTGCCAGACAACATACGCGCAAGTTTCCGTTGCCGCACGGAATCAGGGGAACTCGTTGAGTTCACTCGCCTTCCCATGGGTTATAAATGTAGTTCCGCGATTTTAAACACTATCACAAGAGTTCTGGCTGGTGATCCGTTTTTGGTTTTGCCGCAGCATGCGGCACCAAAAGAGTTAAAAATACATGTTTGGATTGATAACATCAGAATCAGTGGTCCACACGAAAAGGTGGAAGTTTGGGGTAAGCAAATTTTGAAGAACATACAACAATGCGGCGCCACCATCGGAGAGCAGAAGCTCAATACAAAGGAATATGATTTTATAGGAGTACATTTCAATCACAAAAACAACACGGTTTCTTTAAGTGGTAAAACAATAAAGCGGTTGCAACAGGTACCTTCTCTAGACAACACGACAGTCGAAGAATTGGAGAGTACGGTTTCGCGTATGATGTACGCAGGTGGGGTAAGGTGTGAATCCCTTTTCCCTTATTATTTCTTTCTAAAAATCGTACGTCGACGTTTGTCACGTTTAAATCGAGGTTTAATACGGCCACAAGACAAGGCAAAGTTATCGGCTACTGCCAAAGGACATCGGACACAGTTGGCTCCAAACATTAATAACGAATGAGCCGGTTCATCCTCCTCAGCAGTTGCCTTCCACGGCAACACTCGTTACAGATGCCTCCATGTACGGATGGGGAGCGTTATTATTCAAGTATTCAGGAGAATTTTTGGCGGCAGGTGGTGCGTGGGAACGCACACCTCATATGATATCGCAAGCGTAGGCGCGTGCCGTTCATCTCGCTTTACGAGGATTTAAGACACATTTACATGGCCCCGTTGATATTCGCGTGGACAACACAACAGTTATGAACATTATGCAAAAAGGAAATACGCATTCACAGGCGTTAGTAAAGGAAGCTGACGCCATACATAAAGTTCTGCGCCTACACGGCGTTCCAGCAAAGTGGAGTTATGTAGCTTCAGAGAACGACCCAGCGGACGGGATATCCAGAGGGAATACCATCAAAAAATCGGACATAGCGAAGGGGTGGAACTTGCGAAGGGGAGAGCGGGAAGCGGGCTAAAAGGGCTTCTCAGCACTTCCATTTCGTTAGTTTCTGTTATGTATTAGCAATCATCATCGGGAAAAAATTTGATAGAGATATGTAAATAATGCATCAAAACTTGTTTGAACAATCATGGAAACAAAATATTTTTCTCTTGTGTTTTATTTCTTTAAAGAGGGAGTAAGGCTAGGGTATTCTTCTTTTTTTTTTTTTCTTGTCTTCCTTTCCGGCCTGAAAAAAAACAAAACAAAAAAGCAAAGAAAAAAGAAGGGGGTGATTTTTTGAGATGGCTTCTTTTTTTTTTTTTTCTGGGTTTTCCGCGGGTTCCCGCGCCCGCGTTTTTCAAACAACGGCCCAACACCGCGATGAAGTTTCAGAGAGCAGACAATTGGCCAATGAAAAACGGAATACCCTAGCCTTACTCCCTCTTTAAAGAAATAAAACACAAGAGAAAAATATTTTGTTTCCATGATTGTTCAAACAAGTTTTGATGCATTATT